ACATGGCTGACTGTGGTTCGAGTCCTGGACCTGGTGGTTTGCTTTCTCTCTCTCTCTCTGTCCCTCTCTGGTCAAATTAAAAAAAAAAAAAAGTTAAATAAAATAATTATTAAAAAAAAAAAAAATCTTACACTGAGCATGTATGCATGCGTGCCCAAAAATCTGAGAGGAGAATGGAGGAGAAGGGATTGTGGCGTGACCATACCATGGAGGGGTGATTTCTCGATTTCTCGTTTTCTGTCTGTCTCTCCAGCAAGCACATGCGTCCTATCGCAAAAAAAAAAAAAAAAGATTCCAGTCATCTCTGATACCCCTTGCTTCCCCTGTCTATTCTCACAGCAACCAGAGAGATCCTGGTAAAACACAGAGCCTCCTGGACAGGCACCAGCAGAAGATTCCTGATGGCCCTCTACTGACCCCGGAAGACAGCCCCAATTCTCCAACGGGTCTACAAACCCGCTCAGGACCTGGCCCCTGCCTGGCTCCATTCCTCTGCCTTCCAGGTTTTTACAATGCACTTGCAAACTTCTTCTGCGCCCTCCCATAGGCAGCGCCCTCTCCCAGCCCCTGCACTCCCAGTCTCTCTGCATGGAGCGCCCTTTTCCTGCCCCTTTCTTTCCTATTGACTGACCCCTACTCATTTTTTCTTTTTAAAAAAATTTGATAGAGGGCACGTGTGCTTGCCAGAGAGAGAGACAGAGAGAAAGTGAGAAAGCACCCTCGCTCCCCATAAGGGGTGGCCATGTTGCATCCCTTCCTATTCTCCTTTTGGGATTTTGTGCGCACACACACACATATGCCCATCGTGTTCTGCAAACCACTGGGTTCGGGACTTGAACCACACACTTGGTCATGTGGAGTCTAAGTGCCTTGGTTACCACACCACCAGTTGCCTGGTGGTTTCAGTTTAAAAAAATTAAGGTAGAGGGGCTAAGCAGGTGGTGTGGTAGTTAAGGCACTGGACTCTCTCGTGGCTGACCATCAGGTGGTGTGGTAGTTAAGGCACTGGACTCTCACGTGGCTGACCATCAGTCCCTCGCCCCATCCAAGCTCCCTTCTTCTCTTTCCTAAGCTCTGCATTGAGATTCCCAACTGGGGACCAGCAGATGGTGTAGTGGTTATGTCGCTGCACTGCCACGTGGTCCAGCGTGGTTGGAGTCCCGGACCTGGTGGCTTAAAACTTACACTGAGGGGGCAGGCAGGTGGCGTGTACCCGGCAGCTTGAAAATCATGCCAGGCACGTGTGCATGCATGCCTAAAATCCCAAGAAGAGAATGAAGGAGAAGGGATTGTGGCGTGGCCACCCTTTCCAGGGAGTGATTTCTCACTTTCCTTCTCTCTGTCTCTGTCCAGTGAGACAGAGACATGCATGCACCCTAAGGCAAAAACCTAAAACAAAAAATTAAGAATTACATACGGTAAAATTCACCCTTTTCAGTGTACAGTCTGCTGACATTTGACAAATCCATATAGTTACGGAACCACCACCATAGTCAAGATGGAGCGGTTCTACCACCCCAAGAAATTCCCACATTCCATTTCTAGCCAACCCTGGCCCCATCCCCAGCTCCTGGGAACCACTGATCTGGTTTTGCTTTACATTTCCCTGGGTGTCCTATAAATGAAATTACTATGTAGGTAGTCTATTTTTTTTTTTAAAGAGAGGTTTTCGTTTGTTTGTTTTGAGAGAGATTTTTGCTATAGGGCTTGTGTGCTCACCAGAGAGACAGAGATAAAAAGCCAGAAATCATTCTCACCCAGGGGGTATGGCCATGCCACAATCCTTTCTCCCCCATTCTCCTCTCAGAATTTTTTTTTTTTTTTGGAGAGGTTTTCGCTATAGGGCGCATGCGCTTGCCAGACAGACAGAGACATAGAGACAGAAAGCGAGAAATCACCCCCCGGGGGGATGATCACACCGCAATCCCTTCTCTTCCATTCTCCTCTCGGGATCTTGGGCATGCACGCACACGCACCCGACATGAGTTTTAAGCCACCGGCTCCAGGACGCGAATCGCGGTCGACTACGTGGGAGTCCAGCGACATAGCCATTATGCTAACTGCTGGTTCCCTACTCTCAGAATTTTAGGAATGCACACACATGTACCCTGTGTGCATTTTAAGCACTGGGTCCAGGTCTTGAACTGTGGTTGACTACATGGGAGTCCAGTGACGTAACCATTACACCATCTGCTGGTCCCTCTAGGTAGTCTTTGAAGACAGGTTTTTTAGGTAGTCTTTAAAGACAGGTTTCTTTCCCCATGTAACACATTTCAAATTCATCTATGCTCTTGTGTTTATCTTCCCTTTGAAAAATATCTATGCTGTATCTGTAGCTTAAATTTTTTTTTTAATCCAGAGGGTGTATGTGCCGCGACAGAGCCATGGAGAAAGCACCCCCAACAGGGCGTGGTCACACTGCAATCTCCTCCCCACTTCTCCATCCCGTTGGGATGTGGGACCTGCACACACATACCTGCCTAGCGTGTTTTTCAAGATGCCTGAGCTGGGATTTGAACTGTGATCAGCTCTGTGGGATCACTGGGCTGCAGGCCAGCCTTGTATCTATAACTTTATGTGAAACTGCAAAACTGTTCTCTGGAGTTGCTGGCAGTTGGTATTCCCGTTACCAAGATATGACTCTAGTTCCATTTTATTGCCAACGCTTACTCGGTCCCTTCATTTATCCAAGCAACTTATTTATTTACATTTTTGCCATTCTACTATGTAATGATATTGTAGTATAGTTTTAATTCCCTCCTCCCTGATGGCTAATGATGCCGAGTCTACTGCTTCTTTAAATTTAATCTCTGTTCAGTATTCACTTCCCTTTTTTTTTGGGGGGGGGGAGATTTTTTCCTACAGGGCGTGTGTGCTCGCCAGAAAGACAGAGAGAGACAGAAAGCAAGAAGTAACCCCCCAGGGGAGATGGCCATGCCACAATCCCTTCTCCTCCGTTCTCCTCTCTGGATCTTGGGCACGCATGCACACGCACCCGGCGTGAGTTTAAGCCACTGAGTCTGCCACCGGGTCGGACTGGGAGTCCGGGGACCCAGCCATGTCGCTGACTGCTGGTCCCATTCCTTTTTTTTTTTTTTTTGAGAGATTTTTGCTTTAGGGCACATGCACTCACCAAAGAGACAGAGAGAGACAGAAAGTGAGAAACCATGCCATCCTTTCTCCATTCTTCTCTAGGGATTTTGGGCACACACACACTCACCTGGTGTGAGTTTTAAGCTGCTGGGTTCAGGACTTGAACCACGATTTACTACATGGGAGTCCAGCGACATAAGCATTACACCATCTGCTGGTCCTGGCACTGATTTCTTCTAAGAAGCCCCTACTTACTCTCCAGATGGATGACATTGCTGTCCCCCTTTGTGGTTCCGGGACAACCAACATTCTCTCACCTTGGCTCTAACCCTCTTGACTGCAGTGGTTTGACTGTTTCCTCCCCACCTACCAGGCCCACCTCTCTCTCGGTCTCTTCCCCCCCCATCACACACACACACACACACACACACACACTCACTCATGACTGTCCCCACCCCGCCCAGGGCAGAAGCAGCTATTAGCTATTACTTCCTTAGGGATCTTTGGCTCCCAGCACAGACCTGAAACAGAATCTTTAAAAATAAATATTACTCCAGACCAGCAGTTAGCGTAATGGCTATGTCGCTGGACTCCCATGTAGTCGACCACGGTTC